GCGGGCGCGCCGCCACACTCCCAAGCGGCGCACTGTAGCAGTGCGCCACTGGGCCAGCCCCTATTTTTACTTACTTTTAAAAAATTTTTTAAATTTATCAGTGAGAAAATTATATTAAGTGAAATAAACCAGGCACAGAAAGAGAAATACTGCATGTTCTCACTTATTTGTGGGAGCTAATTAAAATAAATCGGGTGCTGGGGGTGGGGAGGAGAAAAAAAAAGACACGACAATCACAACAATTCCTTGAACTTGTTAAGAGAAGTGAACAGATGTGATGTTGATGGGGGAGGGGGGAGAGGGAGGGAGGAAAAGGAGGAATTGGTAAAGGGACATGAAATCAATATTTGTGTTAGAGTTTTAGCTTATCTCACATGCAGAGCAGATTCCTTCCAGAGAGGAGGCTGGTGTCGTTTAGTATTTGCTTTCATTTAATCCAGCTTTGCAAATAATTGTCAACCACCCCCACCCCCACCCCCAATTCATGAGTTCACCAAGAAACTTTAACCAGATGCCCTCTGAGTCTGCTAAGACTGAACCTCAGAATGTAACTCCAAGGCAAACAACATTTCTGGTTTTCTTATCACGATTTTTATTTTTGCCCACATTTCTCCTTAAATTGGACTTAATCTCTCGTTATGTAAACAGCTAAAGATATCTTAATTCCGGAGAGAATATCAGAGATCTGTGCTGAGTGGGGAAAGGAGTTGAGGCGGGGGATGAATGGAAGGAAAACAAGCATTAATTATTAAATGCTTAGAAGATTTTAAAAATCACATACCACTTGGCACTTTCCATCTCCACAATACTCTATCCCCATTAAAGGTAAGGAGCGCCTGGTTTTCTACCATGACAAATTTGCTTAATTATATTTTCTCTCTCCTAAAGTGGGAAGGGTTTAAAAACATGCCTCCTATGGGTGGCCCCCTTTACTCCCCATGGAGATGCTGTTGCCCTATCTAGCGCTTTGACTCAATGCAACATCTTATTTCACAAACATGAAGTGCTTATTTGGAAGCACTTAACAAAAGGCAATATGCAAATACATGTGAATCACATGCAAATCTGTTGTGCAGTTCAGAATCCTGGGAATGCTTTTATACTAGGACAGAAACACCATTCTCAGCTTTATTTTGCTTGCTGGGGCTTGGAGCAGGGGAGAAGTTCAGAGACTGGGTGTCGAAGGACAGACAGGATGACAGAAGTAAAGAGTTCTTGATGTGGCTCACCCTCCACCAGAGAGTAGGCCTGGATTTACCCACCACATTTTCTATATCACTGAATTTCCAGAGCAGGTTTGATGTTACTGTTATAATTTATTGTCACCCAACAATTTGGGTAATGGGTGTTCTGATTTGGGACTTGGAAATCCAGTTGCTGCAGTCATAGGTGTCGTCTTCATGCCACTAAGATCCCAGGTGGGGACAACCCAAGTGGTGCCTCACAGCCCATCCTAGATGTTGGGCAATTACCCAAAGTCAGAGGCCAAATCATCCTCAGATACCATTTGGCCCAACGTCCTCATTTGACAGTTGGGCAAACTGAGGCCCAGTGGCCCATGTCATGATGACATGACAATTAGTTGGTGGCTCCATAGACGTAAGAACTTGGGCTCTGTGAATAGAGAAGATAGAAGTAAGAACTTGGTCCAGGAATAGAGAAGATAGAACCATGTTTTTTGAAGGCTTTATAATCTTATAAATAATAATATAATACAATAATATAATAATATAATCTTATAAAGCTAATAGTGGAGGACGGGGGCCATGTGGTCTGACCTTGAGCTCTGAAATGATATGTAACTTGGATCAGCCACTTAGTTGATGTGTGGACTTGGGAATTTACCTAACCTTGCTTAACCTCAGCCCTCATCTTTAAAGCAGAGAGGGAAATAGCGCCTACTTCAAGGGGTTGTGTAAGTATTAAAGGAGATAATGCACAGAACCTGGCACAGACAAAATGCTTAATAAATGTTGGCTATTGTTATCACTCCAGTGCAGACATCCAAGGGCTTGAATAGCTTGCCAAGAAATCAGTCCTGAGGGGGCCTGTCCTTAAGCCAAACCTCCTTCCTGCCAGCTCCTCTCTTCCAGGCCTGGGCCCCCATGCTGCCCAAGTCCTCCCCTCCCTTTCCAAGTAAGAGACAATCATGACCATTTTAGTATCCAGCTCCATGCATGGATCTTTCCAGTGGAGTAGGAGGTTATTCACTAGAAATGAAATTGCAAAGGGGTAAAGGGAATTGGGAAAGAAATGAGAATGGGAAGGGAAAGGAGAGCTATTAACGGTATTCCTTTCCTCTGTTACGGCAATACCAGATCATGCAATAAAGCCTTTATAAGCACAGGGAATGTGAAGGACAATCACCAGCACACCTTTCCTCCAGAGAAGTCACACTGGTAGCAAAATGAATGTCTGTTACTTTCCTCTTGCCTCACATAAGTCATTGGACACTGTGGGTTAGTGCACGAGTTTGTTCTTTTCCTCCATGACCAGTGAAACCATGTCCCATAGAAGTTGGTTTAAGTGGCATTCTAACCATGGACTCTCTGCTTGGTACTGTACAAAGATAATTAATATTTATAAAGATGACCCTGATTCAACAAAGAAAGATCAAATAACGTTCAATGCAGTTTTCATGAGAAATACATTTGATTATGTCTGAGTCTCTGAAAATTGGCCATACATCTTTAGTGTGTATTAAACAGAACATCCCATTTCTGGCCATATTGGAAAATACAATTCACTCTCTCTTAACTCCAGAGCTGCAATTTTCCTTTTGAGTTTTGATTTATCTTCTTGCAAAATATGTGCCTAAAAGGATAACAGGATAAATTTTTCCCTAGACATGATTTGTTTTGCAGAGTGTATCCCTGATACTGGACACCTGCCGCAGTTGGATGTCCTGGATGCTGGCGGTCTGAGGTTCTGACATTGGATTTCAAACCCCAAAGCACAGTGGACCTTCCTCTTGGCTGCAGAGAAGTCACCATCTTCTTCTTCTTCTTCTTCTTTTTTTTCCTGGACATTGTAGCTGACCCCCCAGAGATGAGGACAAACAAAATGTATTCTGTCTTTCCCAAGACTGCTGCATCAGCATATATTTTCCATTTAAAGCTTTTAAGTATTGGACTTATACATTTATGAACACCCCCAGTGGGCTGTTATGGTTTGGTTTAGTCCCCAAGAAAACCGGCATTAAAATAGACCTTTTCCCAGCAATAATAATCTCATTTATGATAAATTATTCTATTCTCAGTACCTTTGAGACACATGAGAGCTTTTATGTAATAAAGAAGCCATTTACTTCCAAATATTCTAATGCATGTTTCCATATTTTTCTCATTTTTGATGCAAGGGCCATTGACAGTATTGTAAGAGAATGTCTTTTAAAAGCAAATTTACGGCAGATGTTGCAGTGGGACGGATGGCAGTGTGTGTCACTGCAGAGCTATACTGCTGAAAGGAGCAGGGCAGAGACATTCTAATTCTCATTTATGTGCATAAAAGAGTAACCTCTACAGAGAAAGAGGCTGTTATTGGGGAAATTGATAAGATATAGGAGACCTGGCTTCAATGTGGGCTCCATCCTTTGATTTACTGCGTGTACTTAGTTATTGCTCTGTCTCATACGCAACGTCTGAAATGTAGAGGTGTGGGGGACAGACATTGGAAAAGGCCATTGACAACTACTAGAGAAAAGAGAGTAAATCAGAGCCTTATGTATTCACTGGAAAGACAGGCTGTTTCAAAATGGCAAAGAGTCATGTAGAATGGCTTTTGCCAGAAGTTTGGCTATTTTAGTTTCCTAAGCATTCATTTTCAGAGCCGCTCACTGGATGGATGTTTTCTCTCTGAAAAGCCACCGTGATGGTGGTTCTTGACTGGGAAAGTGGTGGCAGGGTCTGGAAGAGGGGACAGTGTCAGAATCAAAATACGTATGTCCTTGGTTCTGTGATTTTAACTTATGCTGACTCTTGGGGCAAAAAAGCTTTTTGAGAAACCTCCTCAGGTCTGTGCTTCTGATATGCTTCCTGATTAAGAGCCACTGCATTAGCACGGGATGAGCTTCAACCTCAGTCATATGTCCTTACAAGAGACGTGAAAATGTGTCCTTGACATGAACAGAACGGCACTTCTAGAATAAGAAGCCTACTCTTCATGGATATCTTACTCACATTCTTTTAATAAAATGCTCTGTGCATTTTATGGACATTAACACTGTCCGTGTGTAAGAGAAAGTCATTGTCAGTGGGTCAAGCTGGCCCAAAGTCACCCTCTGGATAAACGATGAAATGGTGGGGTGAAGTCTATGAAATCTATAAAACTAGTTTTCGTTCTGTACAGATGGACTGTTTTGGCTTTGGGGATGTTGCCTAACTTACTCTAAATATGGCATCTAGTTCTCCCCAGTCCTTTCCAAGAGCATGGAAAAGGGAAAACAAATATAACAACATAAGTATGCAGGGATGCACCAGTGTGAAGATGATTTCATGAAAACCAAAGCTAGAAGGAAAGAGTAACACGTGCGTTGCCCTCCTGCTGTGTGCCAGGCGCTGTGTTATATGTTTACACTATTGGAATGGAGACCTCTAACAGGGAATGAGATGGCGATAAGGGAAAGATGACCAGGAGAAAAGCCAGACTCAAAAGGGAATCCATTTTGCATTTTCCAACCTTGAGATTTCAAAAAGTGAGTAAGGATTTTATCACTAGTAAAATCTAGTATTTGCTGCACCTTTACAGAGTGTCCCTTGGTGTACTGTTTTACACCAGTCAACTCATCTAACCCTATGAAAAACGCTATTAGGCAGGCATTATTATTATACTGTGGTACAGGTGTAGAAACCAAGCCTTGGAGAGTTTAAATAACTTGTTAGATTTTCACAACTGCTGAGCGATGGAGCTGTGCTTGAAGCTGAAGAGTCTAGGTCTTCCTAGGTAGACTATGGTCTACGCTGCTTGACAGCTCAAAATGCTCCACAGGCTTTGTAACTCAGAGAGTTTGGAGAAAAGACAAGGGATTGGGATGGGTCCCAATCAAATTACTTGGTGTTATTTTCAGAACAGTCTGGGAGCTGGGACCACATGGAAGGTAGATGAAGACAGGTAGCTGGGAGTTCAAAGTTCACATTTGGGTGGCTGGGCAAGAAATCCCAGTATGATGTAGCTATCGAGAGTGTGCCTGGGTGTGAATCCCAGCTAGACCACTTCCTAACTGTGAATTCATGGACACAGTTTCTCCAGCTGTAAAATGTGAAGTGGGTCCATACTCGGAGCTGCCTCAAAGAGTTGTGAGAATTCAATGAGACGTATGGAAAGTGCTCAGTAAGTACACGTGGTGAGCCCAGCAATAAATACAGCATTGGTGTTATTACAGTAGAGGAGTTTTAGCAGAAGCTCTGAAGTCTGGCTCCCACCACCCACGTTGCTGCCTATCCCCCATAAGTACAGTGTGCAGAGTGTATGAAATGTCGAAGCAATCACAAGCAAGCCAACTTTGCCCTAAGGGAGAAAGAAGAGGTGGGAAGGAAAAGTGTCGTGACTTTGGCCTCCTTCCTCTGGAGGTGAGAGGGTGCTGAGATCCCCGAGGACATCTCCTGGATACTTACCAGTGTAAGATGATGGGGTCAGTTAGACCTCCCTTTGTTCATAGTAAAGACAGAGCACCTTTCTGGAGAGGAGGACTCTCCCCCAGGACACCACAATGTGGGCACTGCACCGGTGGTCTGGCATGGTAGGGAGGCCCGGCAACGTACCCAAGAACCACCTGTCCCAGATGCCCGGTGGGCTGGAACAGCACAAAGGGTACATGCAAGATTGAAGAGCCTCTGCTCATTGTGACAAAGGAGTGGCATGGCCACTGCAGGTCACAGAGGATGGGAACACAGGCAGCTTCTTGGAGCTTCTTGAGTAGAAACTTCTATTTGCACTTCATCTACCCCACTGCCCTGTCTTTAGAAGGGATGTTTGGAAGCCAAAGATACTTGAGGGTGGTTTTCTTAGATTTGGTGCCTCTCCTAGGAGGTCCTTCTCTGAAAGTCAGGCCAAGATGACCACTGGGAAGTGAATTTTATTATGGCCAGTGGGAGTCTAGGGAGCCATGAGAATGAGAGCACTGGGCTGTTTCATGGCACCATGAAAGAGTCAGGTCGGGTTCATCTTGGGTTGGAACTAAGGAAAAAGGGAGTTTGGGGTCAGACCTTTGGAAGGTGGTCTCCCCTTTCTTCCTGTTTCTCAATCACAGATCAGATGTTACAGACAGCCTAGACTCTGAGCAGAGGAAAGCAGGCCCCTGCATTTACTGGCAAGAACTATAACATCCCACGGAAGAAGAGATTCTGTATCACAACAGGGAGTCACAAATTAGTCAAAGACTTGGAATGGTTTCCTGATAAATGAAATGTAATCAATTATAGTGACTTCTTTTGGGGATTTTATTATCTTGTTCCTTCCTCTTTATTTACTTTGGATGGCCACTTGGGCCAAGTGTGAAGTTGTTGATCTCACCCCAACAGCCTAGAATACATGAGCACATCTGCAGCTGGACACAGCACTCAATGACCAGATGTAGAGTGTGGTGCTAAGTGAACCAAACAGCTAAAGAGACAGGATCTGGCAACAATCTAGCCATTAGAAAGTGATTTTTTTTAAATGACATTTAAAAAAAGAGATAGGACAACACTAAATGTTGAAGCAACTACAACTCTCCTGTGTGGCTGGTGGGAATGTCAATATATACAAGCACTTTAGAAATCTGTTTGGCAGTATCTCCTAAGGTTGAACACATGAATACCTTATGTCCCAGCAATTTCACTGCTATGAATATATCTGACAGCAATATATACACATGTGCACCAGGAGATATGTACAAGAAGGCTCATAGCCCCACTATTCAAAAAGCCAATACACAGGCACCTCTTTTGCACAGCTTCAAAATCCTCTTGGCCTCACCTTTGCTACAGCAACTAATTTCATGCAGGCTTTGGTTTCTTGCAAGTGCAATCAGCAATGGCTTGCCTAGAGCCTGCACCATGCACATCTAATTTCTTGCAATGCAGCTTCTCTGACTTGGGATTCCCCAGAAAAACTCATGCACATGCAACCTGGAAGAACAGGAAAATTTACACTAGTAAACAATTGCTGTTGACCAATGGGGGACAGGAGCCAATGGACGATGGATAAATGTTTCCACTTTCTGTTCCCCTTGGTGAGCAGTTCTGAAATGCATGGCTCAGAAGATGCTGGCAGGATCAAGCACCATTGACTGTAGTGGTGGGTAACTTAATAACACACTCATATTTAGGCTTTCTTTCTATTCCCATTTCACTCTCCCTATCCTGTATGACTGCTTCCTAGGAAAACACTTCCAAATAAACTGTTGGGCATACTTTTGTTTCTTGCTTTCCTTTTGAGGGAACCCAAGCTAAGATAGCTCAAATTTGGAAACAACCCAGCAGTAGAAGGAATAAATAAAATGCAAAATATTCATAGAAAGAAATGTTGAATTCAACTGTTCAAAAAATGAATGAGGGCCAGCCCGGTGGCGCACTGGAGAGTGCACCGCTTGGGAGTGCGGCGGCGCTCCCGCCGAGGGTTCGGATCCCATGTGGAGACCGGTTCCCGCTCACTGGCTGAGCGTGGTGCGGGCACGAAACCAAGGGTTGCGATCCCGTTGCCGGTCCCCGGTGTGGGCGCAACACCAAGGGTTGCGATCCCGTTACCGGTCAGTAAAAAAAACAAAAAAAAAAGGAAAAAAAAAAAGAGAATGAATCTCACAAATATAATAATGTTAAATCAAAGAAGCTAGACATAACATAATATATACTCTACATTTCATTTATATGAAGCTCAAAAGCAGGCAAAAAAATCATAGTGTTAGAAGTCAGGAGAATGGTTACCTTTGGGAAGGAAGAAGGGGGTAGGGACAGGGAGAGGTTATGAGGGGAGCTTTTAAGTGTACTGTGAAAATTCTATTTCTTGAACTGGATAGTATTGTTAGATTGTGTTCTCTGTGTGATAATCCATTGAGCTGAGCTTTTCAATTTTGAACAATTATGTGATAGTTCAATTAAACATGTTTTAAATTAGCTTAAAATCAAGAGATCATGGTGACTATTTTCCCTTGCTCAACCACAATTGCAAGCTTGCTTGAGAGAGAACACCACACCACTTATATACATAGTCCATTGCAGGGTATGCAAACTCCAGCTTCTTACCTAGCCAGGCAGGTGCCATAGATAAGTGAAGATGGCCCAGGGGGCTATGTTTTTCTAAACAGGGTAGGTCTTCCTCAGTTCCAGCTGGTGGTGTGCTGATAAACTGGCACTCCAAAAAAACAAGCAAGTGAGCAATTGAAAGAGGGAGGGAGGAAGAAGGAAGGAAAGATGGAAGAGAGGGTGGAAGGGAGGGAAGGGAAGAGAATGCAAGGAGAAATGAAAGCCATGATGTACAGTGTTTGCCAATTCCTGTGGTGTAAATAATCCCACTGTGGCTGATTTTAAGCCACCGATTGTTTACCAAGTGGCTGACAACATTTCTGAACCTCTTACAATGGGCTGGCCAATTATAAGAGGTCACTGACCCCAGCATCCCAGCTACTCTAGTCAATAGTTGCTATGCGTGAAAATGGTCCCAGTGTCCCCATCTTGAAATTTTTCAAGAGAAGCAAGAAATCTGGATTTTCATGTGAAAACTCCTGATCTTTAAGTCATATAGACTAATTCAAATTTTTCAAAAACACTTAAACAAACCAAGAAAAAAAAATCCTGCTGGATTTGGCCTATAAGATGCCAGTTCTTGACCTCTGTTCTACAGACGAAACTTTTCAAGGAGAGTCTCTCAGCTTCACTGACGAAGTGTAGCTTTTTGCATACATGGAATGAAGGACTTCATCTGCATGGCTGTATGGTGCAATGAACTGAGTCTTAACTGCTGTATTAGTCCATTTCTGTTGCTTATAACAAAATACCAGAAACTGGGTGACTTATAAAGAAACACGAAATTTATTGCTTACAGTTTCTGAGGCTGGGAAATCCAAAGTCCATCTGGTGTTGGTGACAGTGACCCAGGGGTCTCACATTGCAAGATGGTGGAAGCAGAGAGAGCAGAGAGAGAGAGACAGACAGACAGACTCTTTGTGCTCCCCTTTTAAAGCCCTCAGAACCATGCCCCTGACCACCATTTTTAACACATTCACTAGGGCGCGGTCCTACAGTCTAATCACCTGTCTAAGCCTCCACTTTTCTATTACCATAATAGGATTTCCCACCCTCTAAAAGTCACAGTGGGGCTAAGTTTCTAATACACAAAACCTGGGGGACACAATTCAAGCTTCAGTGAGTTTTGGGGGGACATATCAACTACAACTGGGGATTAGGTAAATTACTTACCTGTGCCTCAGTTTCCTCATACGTATTAGGATACCTTATGAAGAAGTTCCCCTCCTTTCAGAACTTCCAGGATTATGTAAGGATCACAAAGCATGTCAGGCAATTCTTTTACGACTGGACAAACTGTGCAGCATGGCAGGAGGATTCAGGGGTGCTGGGTCACTGGACAGAGATTCCCAGTTTGAAGATGGCTGCTTTTTCTCTTTCTACTCTCTTCATTCATCAAAGAGAAGCTGCGACTTTACCCCAAGCCATTGTTCTGATGAAGTCCACTTGCCTCCTGGAGAAGTCCAGTCCTGATGCTTCGTAGCCCTTCGACTTCTTGATTTCTGGAGGAGAACACTTTGTTGAAAGGAAGCATAGCAGAGCAGGAAGACTTCGGTCCTGGAGTTTGTTAGACCTGGGCTTGTGGTGTGGCTCTGCTACTCATTAACTAGGAATTTCAACCTCACTTTCCTCACAGGAGTTCCTACCTCACAGGGATTGTGACAAGAAGCATCAACTGTTCCAAGCATCTCCTACAGTCTTTGCATGTAGTGTCAAACGATTGTTAATTACCATTATCCTCATTGTGATTTATCAAGGCATCTAAATAGAGAGGGGCTGGAGGGCCAACATCCCAGATATTCATTAAAATTTGATCTTATGTCTCCTTGTATTAAATTTGGTCCCCTTAACTCTGTTATTTTAGAGATTCAGCCAGAGTTAATATTTCTGCAAGATCCAGACAAGTCTGGAGATGGCGATTTCGATTTAATCCGAATTTGTGGGGTCAGGAATGCTCCCAGAGAGATGCCGCTATGTATTCTGCTGGAGAAAATTCACATACCAGGAGAAGAAATTCAAACTTTGAATATGTGAGGAGGCAATTAGGTAACTTAATCTGTGCTATTAATTAATTTAAAAATAATATGTATAAGTTCCCTAAAGACAGAATAGGTAACTATATATCAGTGTCTGAGGTGAAAGGAAGAATCAGTAATACTGATCTTGTTTTTACTTAAAAACTTGATATTTTGCTCATAGCTTGTATTAATTTTGATTTTTAAAATTTTGCATTAAAATCTTATTTGCTTTGATTACAGGATTCCTCCCACTTATGTGCAGGGGATACATTCCAAGACCCCAGTGGCTGCCTGAAACTGCGGCTGGTACCGAATCCTATCTGTACCATGCACGGGTTTCTTCTTCTTCATGGTTACACGGGTAGAAGATTGGTTCTTACTGTAGATATCAGCAACCTCAGTACATGACTTTTTTCTTTCCTTGTGAAATTGAGAACTTCCACCTTTTCACTTAAAGGAAGCACTTTATAGTTTCTCTTTGGCATATCCATATTGCCAACATCACTACTCTTGCCCTTTGGGGCCATTATTAACTAAAACGAGGGTCACTTGAGCACAAGCACTGCGACAGATGATCTGATAACTGCGAGGGCTACTAATGGAGGGGAGAGGGAGCGTCCACACTCTGGACAGAGTGGGAAGGTGTGAGATTTTATCACGCTACTCGGAACCGCACACAATTTAAAATTTATGAATTGCTTGTTTCTAGAAGTTTCCATTTAATATTTTTGGAGCATGGTTGCCCATGGGTAACTGAAATAACGGCAAGCACAGCCGCAGGGAGAGGAGACTACCGGGCAGCATCTCTCAGCCCTTTAGTCTTGCACTTGTCTGTCTCAGCCGAGACCCGGCTCCGCTCAGTCCTGAGTGTGCCCTAAGCAGCAGCCTCTTAGTGCGTGTTTTTGATCATTTCTAGTTGGATTCAACAAAGAATATGACTTAAGTCTCCTCACATTGGCAGGTTTTGCAGTGAAGAAAGCCTAGTTGTAATTTTAATCTGGGTGTAATAAATAGCTTGATACATACCAGATTTCTCTGATGCTTTGTTTCTTTGATTTTAAAACAAGAATAATCACATTAGTACTTTTTTTGTGCAAGGCTTGAATACCTAAATGCTTTCTAAAAGTTACACGAAAATATTCATTTTAACCACTGAGTTTTTCAGCATCCCCTATAAGTACAAGGAATATTAGTAAGAGCCCTTGGTAGCAAACAACAGAATTCACTGTAACTACCTCGGTTGTATTCACCAGACTACATTGGTTGTTAACAGCATACCTGGGAGGGCTACATAGTTAGGCTTGGAGGCTACTCAGCTAGGCTCAATACTCTAATTATTGCTCCAGGAGAGACTCTGTTGTCCCAGCACAGCAGGGGAAGTGCCACTGAAACCACCACAGCCTCTGCCTCTGCACACCAAGTGTCTCTCTGTCACCCTCATCAGCATTCTTCCACTCAGCACGCCTTACTCTGCACAGCTCTCTTCCAAATCGAAGTCCTCGAGTAAATCTGAGAAGGCCGGGCGCATGCCCATGTCCAGCTGCAAAGGAATTTGGAAAAGTGAGTTTCCGGCTCCTTCCTGAGAAAGTGGGATTCATAAATCTAGAAATCTTCAAACAGAGGAAGGGTACTGAAAAAGTGCTGGGCAGCTAGATGGCATGACGCATGTCCACTGCAATGGGTGGCTTTGGAGGCTCAGGCACAGCCACTGACATGTGTGTAAACACGGGAACAAGGGACTCAATGTACCTTGGAGAATCACCTCCCTCTTCCCTGAAAGCACATTCAGCACATTCAGTCTTGAAGCCACCCCTTTTCCCTGCCCCTCCTGGGAGAGAATTTGGAAGCAAAAGTGTTTGTGAGAACTCAGGCTGAGATACTCACTCCTGGTGTCCCCATCATTTACTTAAACCCTTCGATTTCCCCCATTTCCTTACCGTAATCTGGTAATAACATGACTGCCCTGCCCCACGGGATGCTCTCTGGGCTCATTAAGTCTGGAAATGCTTGGGAAATGCGTCTGCTGAGGCCTGCAGCCAACTGTCATCATTATCATCAGTTTACAGATACTCTTCCAGGCAGCAAAATATTCTCAAGTTTGAAAATCCTGGCCCTAGCCCATCCCTTTCCTTCAATCTTACCTAGGCTGGCTACATTCTCTGCGGAGGTCACCAAAACTCCAAATTCATGTCCTGTCTCTCTCTTTTATAGATTACCAGGGCCTAGGGCATCAGCACGAGGAGGTGTGCTGTGCAATGAAGCAGTGAATTCCCCGGGAACATTTCGTCCTCTGCACTGATCTAGCTTGAGCTGTCTGCAGCTTTTCTCCTACTTCAGCTTGAGACCGGTGTGCTGGACTGGAAGAGTATCTGTA